TTGCTTTGAACTTATAGAACAGGGGTTACTTCCATATATATTTTTTTTATTATTAAAATAACTAATTATTAAGAAACATATAGAGCGCGTGGCCCTAAAAATAAATTCTAATATGATCGACTTTGAAATTGTCCAAGATCGACCGGTCGACATTTTTTRTTATATTATTTTAACATTTAATTATTTTTAATTATTTTATTTTGTATACAATATTATTCTAACATGTTTGTCGAAAATTGAGATTTTTAAGTGGTACCAAGTATAAAATTTGTTATTATATTATTTTAACATTTGATTATTTTATTTTGTATACTATATTATAACATAGGTCTTTATCGAAAATTGAGTTTTTTAAGTGGTAACTTAAGTCATTTTTCCAAAATTTAAATTTTACTGATCAAAAATAAAAACATAAATTTGGCAACGTTGCACAGTAAATCGTACGCAATCGTTAGACTTTTGGGGTAAATATTAAAGTTAATGGTTTAACGTACGCAATCGTGTTCTCAAAAAGAAACATCGTACGTAATCGTGTGGTACCCAATTTTATAAATCATTGCACACGAAAAATGAGCGGAGACGGTGTGTTAGCCTCAATTTCTTAGGAAAGGTTAGATTAGGGGTACTATATATATATGGATYAAGCCCTTAATACATAAGTACAATTATAGTTTACAATGCTAATATTAAATGACTTAACCTATAATTGAAATATATTGATAAATCAAAAGTAATGTCATCTACATCACAMCAGTCTCGTCAGTCTCAGATGCTTGTTGATCATATTATAATAATAGATAATGTTATTATTATTATTAAATTACAAGTTAATATATCAACGCACTATAATAAAATCTTATGAATAGGTTTAGGGTTATAAATAGCTTAAACTCAATCTAAATGTTTTTAAAAATTTGATTGTATTAAGAAAATAATAATAAATATAGGTATGTCTACCTACAATCTACATAATGTTAGAAAGTCTCAAGTCCRGGCTACGGTTAATAATTTTTGAATTACAACWGAATCWACTAATTTGATGTAAAATTGTAATTTTGTCAAAATTAGAACTTAAAATACCTATAAAACAAATTGATCATATTATGTAGTATTGTAGTATTTAGATATTTTAAAATTGTCATAAAATTAATTCATTAGAAACTTTGAATTATTACTATAAACGTTTAACGGTTCAACCCTTCGCTGTAAAAAATAAAAATTGTATACATTTTTACAACAATGTATCTAATTTGGAAGTTTTTGTAATTTTATCGAATATCATTAACATTTAAACTTAAATACATTATAAGTTATTACAAAAATCTAYTTTTCAATATTTTCATATTGCTATAAGTAGGACTCATGATCACCCTAGTATTAAATTTCAAGGTTTTTGAGTGAGAAAAAGTTTTTATCAACATGCTTTATTTAATAATAACTAAACAAACTACAAAAATGTCGAATCTATTTCAATGAACATTTTAAAGTGTGTCAAAATATTTTGAATATTTCGTTGTTGAAAATTATAATTTTAGCAATAGTGAAATGTTTCAAGTTCTTACAATTAATATGACTTTAATTGCGACTTTAATATAATAACAAAAGTCGTTTGAGGAAAATTCGTATTGTTATACGTATTTGAATATTCAATTTAATCATCATTTGAACTTCAAATACTCATATGAAATTAATTTGTAATTATTTTGAATATTTTTATATTACACTGAGAACTTTTGATGAACTTTATTTTGCACTGTCCAACTTTTAATATTTATTTTTATACCACATTATATCCGCGAGAATGAACAAAATAAATGTTA